ATTATATGCTATTATTATTACTAATGTATTGTTCTGTGATTTTAATGATTAATTATAAATTGTTAGTTAGTCTTGTTTTTTAAAACATTTTATTGTTGTATTATATGCTATTATTATTACTAATGTATTGTTCTGTGATTTTAATGATTAATTATAAATTGTTAGTTAGTCTTGTTTTTTAAAACATTTTATTGTTGTATTATATGCTATTATTATTACTAATGTATTGTTCTGTGATTTTAATGATTAATTATAAATTGTTAGTTAGTCTTGCTTTAAAACAGATTTTTATTGTTATATATCATTATTGTTTACTAATGTATTGTTTAAAAATTTTAAATAAATTGTTTTTGTGCAGTTAAAGCTTCAATTGTTCTTTTTCCTATTTGCCATCAACAGTTGAAATAGCAATTTTACAGGTTTTCTACAAATTATAAAGGTTATACAGTACCACTATAAAATAAATTAAATTAACATTTCATAACTGTATAATATTATACAGTATTATTAAAAATCAACAGTGTAATACTGTACTTTGACATGGTAAAAAAAATACAGTAAAATGTTGTATTCAATTTTACAGTAAGCTAAACAGTACTGTAGTTAGTGTTACAGTAATTTTACTGTTGAATGAAATACAGCAACTACTGGATAATTGTTGCCAGTAAGTTACTGTTAATTTGACAATACATTTTTTACAGTGTAGAGATCACTACCCATGATTTGTTTGCTGTATCTTTCATGAACTGCTTAGCTGATTTCATTCAGAAAAGTCATATAGTTATTGTTTTATTATTATTATTATTATTTGTTTAAGATTTTACACTAATAATTAAACTACTTTTGTGCAAGTAACAATTTATGAATAGTTTGTAAGAATCTAATGTAAAGCATGCTACGACTAAAACTGGGAAGATGCATGGAAACAATAATATCGCAAGAATAATGATCCTTAATGAAAACTGTACTTATGACAGCGATCCAAATCTATGCTTTACTTTTAAATAATAATAGATGTATGAACTGCCTTCCAATAAAGTAAGTAATAAAAGCAAAAATGATATTTTTCTGGAGTGTGCATTTTATATTTTATACTGTTATGTTTATCTTATTTATAAAACGTGTTTGTTTTATTGCATCATGGCCAATATAGTTTTAAACAGAATTGAACTAGAAATATTTTACACTGAAACTGAAAGCATGACGTTCTCCTCCAATGTTTTTCCACTTCGTATCCTTTGTTCCATGAAATCAGTCTAAAACTGGCTGTGCACACAAGTCAATTGAAAATGTACAATTCTGGTTTATTTTAACCTGAATCAACTAAACGTGAGAAATTAATAAAGGTACTGGTGTGTACTTATGTGAACTATTGCTGGGAATAAGAAACTGGTTATTGGATGCTGGAACTGTTCTGGAAAGCATTAATAAAAGCTGTAAAAGTATGTTTTATTGTTAGCCGATATCTGATTCATCAACTAATGTCAACAAACCTGGAAGCTTTTAAGTTACAAGCTTACAAAGCAGTTAAGTTACAGTAGCTGGCAAACTCTTTTGGCTGAACGATTGTGAGCATCCTTTATTTGCCACTGACACACATTATTACCATATTAAACATTTTAGAATAATCTGGGAAGAAAATACCCTAAACACAATAAATAAACACCTTAATTTATTGGTATAAATGAGATAAATTACATGTTTTTAACTATTTATTACATAATCTTGATTACAAATTGTTTTATAAAAAACAAATTCCCCAGAACTCAACCCACTACATTTTGATATGAGACTAAATATTTAAAAGCAAATTTCAGCTAATTCTAATTGTGACTGATTAATGATGTATAAAACCTCACGTGATTGATCACAGATTTCATTACTTTCACGTGGCAAGACTTGACAGTCTGGTTAAACCCTCCAGAAGGAAGATTGTTTTTAATATGCTCTGTAATACTTCAGTTAGCCTACATTCATGTGAAAATAAAGTGAAACAGGAGCACTTTGTGTAAACCACACCATTACTTCATTTGTCATCTCCTGACATGGTCTCAGTTTATTTCTCTATAAATTCTTCAGCTGATGTCCAATATGTGCTAGATCATCAACACTTTAAACACAGCTCCTTAACTGACTGGCCAGATGTTTTTCAAGATCATCTACTAAAGTGAAATCAGTAAAATTAGGATTACATTTAAATTCTATAGGAGCTGCTAGAATAGTCAATAGAATATCTAATGCAGGGAAACCCTGATCAATTGTGAAAACTCATCCATAAATGACAAAACATATTTACAGAAAAGCTCTGTAACACAAAGTAGTTCAATATGCATGAAGTCACAATAAATGTAAATGTCCATGAAATCCATAATTTGGCTCAAGTTCATCAACAAAGTCATCCACAGCAAATATTCAATTAACCTGACAAACCAAATACTGGTCATTGTGTGAGTGTGTGTTAGGGGTTGGTTGGAGAAAGACAAAGAAGGACACTTTTAGGCACTGCAGTGAGAGCATTTACTGTAGAGACTGTCCTTCATCCTTATTTCAAATGGAAATAAAGCTTCCACAGAGTCCCAGCAGCAATATGATTGATGTGTCCAAAGCCGCTCCAGAAGACATGCTGTCCTTGCTCATTCCCCTCTCAGTGACAGACAGAACGGATTTGTGTTGCTTATATGTTTGGTGATCACTCTTGGCTCATTTGAGATGCCAAAAGACTCGCCGTGAATGTAGACGAGAGCAGGCGGCCAAAAAAGAGCTGTCAAGACGGGCAATCCTTACTTCTCGTTGTCAGTCTACATAAGAAAACTGCAAATGTGGCATTCGTGTTCTGTGTTCCTGATGAAGTGAACGCATGTCAAATATTGCTGTTTTTGCATGAAGATGATCATGGTGACCAAGAAATTCTCCCAAAATCTATTTTTAGTACAATAAAGCCATGGTTTCAGATTTGTTGATAGAGTTGCAATCAAACCCTTCGATGCCCATTCCCACACCACATGCTAGTGTGTAAAACAGAGACGCGGAAGGATTGATTTTAATAATTGGATGCCTGCCACAGTTTCATCCGAGGCACTAAACAGATTTCTCCCATCGAGTCTCAGCCAAGAAGGCCGACACAAAAGCGTCTTTCAACTATCTACCTTTAGAGGTTTCTGAAAGCAAGTGGCCGTGGAAGCTTTCCCCTGGATTCATTCCAGCTCTATATGAACGGGCTTGTATAGCGCAGTTTGAATAACACATGCTTTAACCTCGGCGAACACTCGGTCTCATACAGTATGAGACAGGATCTTGCATCACAGAATATCACAATATTTGGATGAAACGGATTTGGAACAATAGCATCCGTTCTTCAATTACTGCCATGTGTGCTCAACTTAAAGGCAAACCGGTGCATTGAGTCAAAGCCACTGCTTTCCTGTCTAACTGGGCCAAGAACAAGGGCACAGTCATTCCAGCAGCCGGAGAAAGCGATGCATCTCTGCAGGGTTCACCTGCACTCACTGCCAGACTCCTTACAAACACAGCAATCAGCAAATTATGAAGGCTTTCGCAGAATCACACAGCTTGGGGAAGTCATGGCCTAATGGTTAGAGAGTCGGACTCATAACCCAAAAGGTTGTGGGTTCGAGTCTTGTACCGGCAGGGATTGTAGGTGGGGGGAGTGAATGTACAGCGCTCTCTTCACCTTCAATACCACGACTGAGGTGCCCTTGAGCAAGGCACCGAACCCCCAACTGCTCCTCGGGCGCCGCAGCATAAATGGCTGCCCACTGCTCCGGGTGTGTGTTCACGGTGTGTGTGTGTTCACTGCTGTGTGTGTGCACTTTGGATGGGTAAATGCAGAGCACTAATTCCAAGTATGGGTCACCATACTTGGCCACATGTCACTTCACTCCATCACACCAGAGATAGTGATCAATCATGAAAGACCTTAACAACCCTGTCTTTGACTTCAAAACGACGTCCACAAACACACCAAAAAAGGGCTCATTTTTGGTGTTGTTGCATGTTACGGTGTCATTTTACGTGGTTCCGTGTGGTCTGAATTCTACTCTGGACAAGGTGACTTTCTGTCCAGTGTTGCATGAAGCAAGTTGAACAAAGTCTGAGTTTCAGAGTAGGCGACCCGCTAAAGGCTAACGTTCTGACAAGGTTCACTCAAACCTATGAACAAATGCTCTTCTAGTAACATAGAATATAATAGAATATTTGTTCTCTGGTCTTTAATAATGAATATAATAGAATATAATAAAATATTAGTTATCTGGTCTTTAATAATGTTCTCAAAACATTACACAAACACATTCATTGAATTTTTTATTTCCTGAAACCCTCTAGCTGAACATTCGTCTAGCTTTTTTTTTTTTTTTTTATGTTACTAGTTTTAGAATGTTCATTACATTTAAAATATTCAAAAGTAACGTTTGCATACTGTTTCCAAAATAATAAAATAGAATGTTCCCTTATCATTCGCATAACTAAGAAAAACATTAATACAACTTTTTAAAATTTTTTAATATGAAAATATTGTGCATGCAGAGTAACTTAATGGGAAAATTAGAAAATGCGGAAAATTATGTTTGCAGCTGGATTTAGAGTTGACAAAAGCAAGCAGTTTAGCGGCTCACGATGCTCGCTATAAATGTTCTGTCAACTCAGAGTTGATGATTAGTGTGTGCACTTGAAAGTGTGGCTTCTGCAGTCAAGAGCCAATCACATGAAACATGAAGAGCGTTCGTTTGATTCACTTCTCACGAGAAGAGATGGTGCAATTCACTTTTCTGCTGAAGATTAAGAGATTGTTACGAAAATATTATGAATTTAGTTATACATTTGCAAGGCATTAAAAACGCTGCTGCTGCTGCCGTCAAAGACATGCAGACAAAAATATATTTCTGTCATGACAACTCTCGGTGGGATTGGCATGGTAATGTACATGACAATGTTAAAGTATTTGGTCTTGGCGGAATAGATCTGCTGCTGCTGCTGCCGAATACATCCACAACATGCTGCTGTGAGCATGTAAGAAATACTGCTGCTGCACATATTACACATATGAATAACCCCCATATAGCATTCACGAATCACCTCGTAGCAGATCTATACAGGTGGAGCTGGGGAAGGTGGAGGGTTTCTGAAGCAAGCTGCAACTGCCATCTAGAGTTTCATGCCAGAACTCTGTATTTACGTGGCACAATTTAAGAATTCTTTCCCATGAATTAAGAATCGGTTCCCTTGTTCTATTAATTAATTCAGTTTTTTTATTTAAATCGTGGCCACTGTTACTCTACGCATTCCCTCGTTTATTATTAAGTTAAATCTTAATTCTACATTGTTGGCCTCAATATATATATATATATATATATATTCCCCCAGCTGTCATGTAAGGGGTCTGTAAGTTTGAGAAGGCAGCTGAAAGAAAGTATCTGAATAAGAAAGTAAATCAACTGAATTTATTTAATAATTGAGTTCACAAAGAGCATATAAAAAACATGTAAAGTTAGCAATTTTAAATGCTTTATATGCTCCAAAGCTTTAATTAATATGTACATATTTAAATTATTTTAAATAAAAATTAGATTTTAATTCAGACATCAAAACATAATATAATATTGATTAAAAACAATCCAGTTCTTGGGCTGATGGAGAAGAACAGCAGGAAACGGAGCAGTTTTCTTTTTTCCCGTGTCGTCTTGCTGAATAAAGATGTCTGTCCTGACAACATTTCCTGATCGCTTACAGTTTTTTAATGAGAATATGTCGTAATGACTTATGCATGTCATATCAATCCATCATTTCTGTTAGTGTGTGTTTAACGGGGCAGGTTATTATGAGCGAGTGGCGCTTGTGCAGCGTGTCAGCCCTGAGGGAGGCTGTTTCTCCTGCTCTCAAACACAGAGACGTCACTCCTGCTGATGCTCTTCAGTGTGAATATTTCACAGAGCCTCTCCTGCCCATGAATAATGCATGACAGCGAAATATAGAATCTCTTGTACATACATGGAGAATTCTGTCTGTGTTTGTCCTCTTTTCATCTCTCTTTCCACATCCCACTCGCTCTGAATATTTCAGCGTGTTTTTTAAATATGTCTCTCTGGCTTCCCTCAAATGGGTTTGTGGAGTCTTTGCTGCTCTCACAAGCCGCGTAAATCATTAAAAAACCGCAACAACATAAAGATCCACCTTGAAAGGCAGGGAACAGGAACAAAGAGTAACGATCAGACTGCAGACGGCACAGCGTCTTTGCTGAACTCCTGTCTGAAAATCAAGATCGATCACTGGAGAAACTGTTTCTGATAACTAGACAAGCTATATCGCAGATCTAAATGGATCAATGAACTGCAATGTAGACACAGCTCATATCACAGTAAAATATGACAATTTCCTAGAACTTAGAAGGTTCATCTACTTAATTTCATTCAATAAACCTAAAAGTTATCATGCCTTAAAATCTGCCCATTTAGATTAAGTCAAACAAGATATCTTAAGATGTGTGCTATGCAAATGGTTCCCTTTAAATGTTCAGTCTTACATGCTTGATCTCATGTTTTCTATAAGAAGTGAACACCAAAAAAGGGGCCACAGCAGAATTCAGTGAAGGGATATATAGTGCAAATTCTTACATTTACTTAACAAATGCAATTTGAATATTAAGACACTATAGGGCAGCTGTTACCAATCATATTAATCAGTATAATCAAAATCCATCTTTGCACTGCAGAAGTGGCACAGAAGCTGCATCTAAAGTAGCATTTAGATGCATCTACACAGACTGTTTAATGCAGCTCAGAGATGCCATGAATGCGTTTACACTGCAGTTGCAATTGCCCGATATTTCAGAAATGGACTGCCCGAACTAAAACCGGACAGACTGGCCATCCTATGCACATTAAGAACAAAATACTTATTGCCTAAATTAATGACAATGTCATGTGAACACCTATCACATGAACACTCACGAGACAAAAGCAACAGAAAAAAGTCAAACACCGACCTCAACACTTGGTACATGACACACAAACTACTTACTTTAAACGGTCATGAGGAATCAAAATGTGATGTACTATAGCTTCAGGACTCAAAAAGCAAGCTGCAGAAATGTTTCATTATCTGTTTCCAACACATCGTGTCGTCAAACTGCCTGCCACATCAACAATTTAATGTTAAACATCTAGTTTAACATCATGGCCTCTATTGCTCATCCACTGCGGCCTCATAGACAAAATAAAAAGAAGAGAGCAGAACAAATGCTATTCCAACACAAATACAGATTATTAAGTTGTTCACAAAGGACGTGTTCTGTCTCAGTTTTTTTAATAGCAAGCATGAACTGAATGGACTTTCCTGACAGTTGTTAGCAATTCAGAAAGTAAATCTTTGAGTGTTATTTAATTTGATTATTTTATATACTGTCTTACAGCAAATCAGCAGTATTCATTCATAACTATAAAACAACACAAAGAATTACATCCATCTTTAGGCCCAACACATGAACACTGAGGACCTTTTTCACTTTAAAAAACCTTAACAGGCACACCTGTGAGCTCCTGAACCAAAGCGGGACAGAAAAACCATCCATCCGTCCACCAAAATCACTCAAAATACATTTAGGTGAAAAGCAGGTATCAATCAGCAGATTTATCATGCACTCAGTGACAATGGTTCAAACTATTTCCATCAAAATGACAAGAGACAAACAGCTGTCGGGAGCGTCAAAAATGAGTGTCAAGAAAACTGCTTCAATGTGAACTCAGTACACTAATTGCATTATTTTACAAATGCATCATGTAATGTGAATCGTCAGTTCATCATACGAATCCAGAAAACCGCAGAGAGCAGGGACTTACAGTCTGGACAGAGCCGCGTTCTTCTGAAACAGGAGCTCTGGAAGCTGGTGAAGCTGGTTTCTGTTCAGACGTCTTTGAGAAAAGAAGAAACAAACGCATTGACAGACTGAGCAAACACAAGACAACAGTGCTAGATCTGCATGTGGTTAGCAAGCCCATGATTAGGACACAAAATGGCTGATTCAGGCCTCGTAAGGAGGCGCCTTTGGAGGCTTAACGCTAGTTACTTCAGGGAAACTAAACCTGTAATAAGAAGATGCTTTAGATAATAACAGCAAACCTCCTAAAATATCTCGAAGAATGCTGGAAACTATTAAAATCAATAAGATTAGTTCAGCCACTTTGATATGTTCATATTTCTTTATGGTTGTTTTTGCAAGTTCTGGAATGTAATGTCTTCTTTAAAATAGGAAGGACAATCATTATTAAATAATACGTTTGCTGATTTTATATTGTTACAATATCAGTAGAGTATGTGTGTATGCTCTTTCTCCATGTTACCTGCGCCCAGAAATCCACGTTTAAATAAAGCAATAAGCCCCGTGAAGCCGTGGTTTACAGTGAATTTATAACAGCTAAGGGGCGTTGGTCGGGGAGTGCCTAAAACCCCCTTAGCTGTTATAAATTCACCGTAAACCACGGCTTCACGGGGCTTATTGCTTTTATAAAACGGCTATTCCATATACATAGTAAATAAAGTGTAATGATATAAATAAAAACAGTGTAGTTCCTCAGAATCAGTTGTGGTTGCTACAAAGTGGTTGCAGAGCAACACACAAACGTAAACAAAGGTGTGTGTTTGTAGAGTAATTTACAACAGTTTCGAACACGGCTCAGCCAATCAGAATCAAGCACCGGAACTCTCCGTCTTATAATGTACAGTACATAGTGGTTAAGGTCACCAAATATAAAGTGGGACCCATTTTTGTAATGGAAGAAGTGTTTACTCTTGAATAAAGTCCACTTCTGCTGTCTATCAGCAATGATCAGTGTCAAAATGATTGAGACAATCTATCAAATCAAAGAAGGCAGGCTTTACTGAATTCTCAATGCGATGCTTAATGGTGAAAAAGTGTGAGGTAAGATGAAGGTTATAGCTGATTTACAACAGAAATGTAAAACACGACATGAGTACAGGAATGCACACTATTCAATTTCGCCTTTATGAATTTTAATATATAACATATCATTTACATATAAGACATATTTGCCTAAAATATTTAGAAATGACATTTATACCATGCAGTCAGATCATATGACCCAGAGGCCTGTAAGGTGTGTGTTTGAGCCGTTTTCAGTGAACACTCACAGTCTCTCCAGCTCTCTCATGTCATCAAACGCGCCGCGCTCCACAGTCCCAATCTGGTTCTCCATCAGCTGCCTGTTTAGAGAAAGGACAAATCACAGGAAACGACTGAGATTTGAGGCGTGGAGCAGGAAAAGAGCTGGTGCTTGTGGACGAAGGCAGAATATACAAAACTACAGAAAAGGAGTTCTGTGAGCTTCATGCGGCTTTAGCACATTTGAGCACATTTACATCCAAAAGAACCAAAGCCTTAAAGTGTAGCTATGAACTGCTTAAATCGTCTTGATAAAATGCCGTTTGTGGGTCTTTCATTGCATTGAGTTTGACAGATGTCTTTTTTTCAAACAACAGGTGAGTGGTTCACGCCAGTGTTTGCTTTACAAAAGCCTACATTGCAAAATATAGTGAAGAGAAATAGTTTCATGGTGCATTTTCGATGTGATTTAGTGAAATAATATAGGGCCCATGCTTGTGTTTTCACGGCACCGCTCTGCCTACACAAGCACTGTGAAGAGAGTTCCCTCGGAAAGACATTTAGGACAAACTGGCTTTAATGCAGTGCCAGGATATGTGTCTGCCCTTGAGATTCTGAGGATGTCAAACAGAGCTTATACCTTCACAACAGTGTCAACCCATCAAAATCCCACACATGCTTTAACAAGAAAGAAAGAAAGAAAGTGAAATATGACATATCAAATGTAGAGCAACTTACAAAACCCGAAGATACTTGAGTCCAGAAAAGTCATTTCTGTTGATGCGTGTGAGATTGTTTCCATTCAGTTCCCTACAAAATGAAACATATGTTATTTGTAAATCTATTGTCACTACAGGTATGCATATAACATTGCTGTAATGACTTATGCTCAACAAGTGTCAAGTATATACATACACTCTAACAGTACAAGAATCACTGGACATTAATACATAGTCAAGCAGCCCGAGGGTGAATAAATATGATTTCAACTCTTAAAGACAATTTATCAAATAATGTGCAATGAGTTGCAATTGACTGAGTAATGCATAACAGTTCAGAATGTTATTACATATACAGTTTGCCGCTGAAAAATACTGTGTGGGTTCTTTGCAAATGTCTGCTCATTATCGGGAACATGTGTTTCTTTTTTTTGTTGTAAACCTCTTCCCCAATCACTGAGAGAAACACACACTCGCACAAATCTCCCATGAATACTGGATACAATGTCATGCACTTTCTATTGGTTCTAATGACCACTCCTGGGAGCGCAGCGAAACAGAGATGGAGAGATTGCAGACAGATGTATGCACAGGTGCACAGCCAAATAAATAACGGGCTGCTATTCATCGGATCTCCTGATATGTAGATGTTCTGCGTATTATTTAGTTTTGGAGTTCAGCCTTTCTGGTTTCTCTTTCTTTAAGAGCTGGTGGCAAACATACTGAAGAGAAGACTCCACAAGAAGAAACCAGCTGAACTGTCCCATATATCAGACTCCAATGAACCAATCAACTTGCCTAAACTTACTTCGTCTACTTGAAATAAGCAGCACCTGTGACAGTCAAGACTTCAGAAGATCAGAAGATTCATCCTGGAGCTCAGGGTTTTCAGTCTCAATCCTTCAAGTCTCCTCCAAAGTAGAGTAGTGACCAAATCACATCCTAACAATCCATACGTTGCAATACGTATCTAATAATAAACTGATAAGAAGACTTGTAGTGGATTTTGCTTGTTTGGATACAAAGCCATGGATGCAAGAAAATAACCAACAAAACAGCTAGTAGCAGGACCAAATAAAAGCAAATGGATTGCATGAATTGAACATTTCATCATAAGAAACATTTGAGTACGAATTAGCTTTTTTTTTTACTTTATTTTACAATTCTCGTCAGGAGAGAGCAAGAGCTATCTTGCTCTCTAGCTTTAATCAGTATAAATCTACAGGTATGTAATGGATATAATAATAATTTAATACCTTGAACATTTGCTGGTTAACTTATACAACTTGTGCACTTTGTAATAATTTCAAACGAAACATTTTACACTGAAATAATTTGAAATCACATTTAATAATCTTTTGTCTTGTATTAAAGTACACTTATTTTGATGTGTTGACTAACATGCTAAATCACACGTACAGTAGCTATGATTTTAACTGTTGTATGCAATTTGATATTACATATAATTAATTTAATATATATTTAAATCACAAACTCCTTACAAAGCTGTAATGAAAACATATTTTCATACAAGTTTCGATAGAAGTTGCATTAAAATATATTTTAATTTAAATGCTTTAACCATTAAACATGACCCAAAATAATTCTGAAATTACATATAAAGATGTACTAAATCCTCACTTAAGTGGGTCATAAAGCACTGTTTTGCATTATATATAAATTGAAACTATAATAATGTATCATTTAATTAGTTAAGTGTTCAAAAATTGTCCAAAAAAGTTGAGTGTTCATTCATTTCACTCTTAAGTATATTGTTTTAAAATGATTATTTCCATAATAAATACTCTTTTTAAAAGTATGCTAAAGTATCTTTTTCGCAATGACAATGGCTCATATTTCTTTTGCTGTGTGACATTTAGCTCATTCACAAAAACCTATGCGAGGTTAAGTGGAGTTCACTTTTAGGGTCTAACGGGCAAGATTCAGCTCACTTGTGTTGGTCGCAATGTAAAATCTCTTTTCAGAAACAAAATGTCTCATTGACACTTTCATTGAACTTTAATTATACTTGTAATTGGATCATCCTAAACACATCTTAATAGCAGGTCTAAAAGGCCTGATTAGATAAGCTAAGGCAAGTCTTGTGATGGCTAATTAGGCCTGACGAAGGTCTTACATGCCTTCAGGAGACTCTGTTAAAGCACTGGAAGCGGATCAGAAGCATCAGCATCGATCTTTATCCAGATCAGCAGGATGATTTACTTTATACTCAGAAATTGTTAGTAAATGTCACAAATAGTTACAAAGAAACTGCAAGTAACACTTGTATTATTGCAAATTAAACGTGAACTTTCGAATGAGAAAGACTGAAATTGATTTTTTTTTTCTTGAAAAACATACTCCGATGATCTTAGTTTTATTTTCAGCTTAGAAAGATCTTTTTTTTTTTTTACAGTGCACGTCAACTGCGATGAAAGTGGGAAAAGTTAAAATGCACCAGTAGGTTTTAGCAATCAATAAACTCTAAAGTCATGCACTATACGAATGTGTAACTAAATGTGTAAAAAAATGTGAAACTATTATGTGCTTACCATAAATAAACCCTTCTCACAGGTCACTGCGTATGATTGAGGAGTTCTCTATAAGGTAAACCTTAAAGGAATGCATGCAAGTCATCAAGCTCAAGTCAATTATGTTCTAATGAACACAGTCCCTGTGAGTAAAACATAAAGCGCTCATTACAGCTCATTCAGACCACTAAAAACCTGACTGTGATTTGAGTTGAAAGAGCAAACTCTACTCCTGGCAAAGCGCCACAACCATTTCTGCCATAACACAGCTGAGTTAGGGAAAAAAAAAGCAACCGCTCATTATCCAGCTAATGAATTAAAAGAGAGAAAAAAAGCACATTTCACAGAAACCCTTTGATGCTCTAACGCAGGCCAGTTTTGGAGCTTTAACGAGTCTGATCCATCAAGCAGCCTAATTCTTCTGAATGGTTTGCAAGGTACGTTCTCGGGTAGAGGTTTTCACAAGGGGCACCCTGAAACGTCCTCACGTAGTTGCAAATGAAAGGTCAAGAGGTTAATCAACGGAGGTGTATAAATGGCTCCTTGATCCCTCCATTTAAATCAGGGAAATTTCACCTGCACCGAATCACAAGCTAGGTTTCTGCTGAATTTCCTCTGCTACATTTGGAGACTCAGTTTAGGACAAAAAAAATTAATATTCAAAAATTCATTTGAAAAACATTTATTTCATGCTAAGTATACTACAAATACATTAACATATTTATGTGCTTAATAAAAATACCCTGCTATTGTACTTTTAGTATACTAAACTGCTATACTTAAAGTCTGCTAAATATGAACAACTAATTTTGTGCTTAATGCACTTTAATTGTGCTTTAGTCCAACTAAAGATATAGTTGTATAGTTGCTTGAGCTAAAGTGGAACTATTGCAAGTTTACTTCAGGTACACTTTAAATATCTGTATTTATATATAGTACAGTATCTCACAGAAGTGAGTACACCCCTCACATTTTTGTAAATATTTTATTATATCTTTTCATGTGACAACACTGAAGAAATGACACTCTGCTACAATGTAAAGTAGTGAGTGTACAGCTTGTATAACAGTGTAAATGTGCTGTCCCTCAAAATAACTCAACACACAGCCATTAATGTCTAAACCGCTGGCCACAAAAGTGAGTACACCCCTAAGTGAAAATGTCCAAATTTGGCCCAAAGTGTCAATATTTTGTGTGGCCACCATTATTTTCCAGCACTGCCTTAACCCTGACGTTTGATCTCAGGCACAGCAGCTTCCGACGTGTGTATAAATAGATGCACTAGCATAGATAAAATAAGAAGGGTCGAGTCTCTGGACATCTGAAAATGAATGCAGGGTACATATAAAATGATGGAGATTATTCATTTAAAGAGCAGAGAGACTTATGCGTCTCGTAACACATGAAAAATCGGTCTACATTAAACTCATATGCCAGCCGCGTGATGTCTGCACATCAGAAAACCTAGAGAGAGCTTGAGGGGGGGGGTGTTTACTTTTACACGCACTAACGTCATTAATGGCGTAACCCGTGTGAGCACACCTTTACCACTAGTTGTCTGGCACATGCATACATTTACATAAGCCACATTCCCAGGCAGAAAGCCAGAAAATGTTTGGTCTGGTGACGGCCTGAGCATGTGTTTTAGGTCTGAAGTGCAGGTTAATGGGGAAACCTTGTGGGGTGAGGAGAAGCGGTGACTATAAAATGACTCTGGTTGAAAGAATGAACGGAAAAGGGAAAGTTCTCAACAGCTGAAAGAGTGATAGGAAGTTTCCCTCCTCCCGCAGCATGTGTCAACACACGGACGCATCTGATCATGTCTGATCGTACCTGTGCCTCATTGAGCTATTGTTCTCATTCAGTTCCTCTTGGTAATGATGCAGACCCCCCATCAACACCCACACACATGCACGCACATGCAGATGGATGTAACGTGTCTACTCACAGCCGCTCTGTGTTTCGGGGTATGTTCCTGGGCATGGTTTTGAGCCCCAGCCCATGGCACAGTGTGAACAGCACAAACCACGTGGAATCTGATCTTTTCAATTCCGATTTGTGCCAGTTCCATATGTGGTACTAAAACCGATACACGCCAGATGTTTTGCAATGCGACCGCAGTGTGAACAGTCATGTCAGATTTCATGCAACTTTTACATCACTCTAGATCGACATTCATCATAATTCCGTGCTGACGGGAGACACTTCAAAGATTTTACATACCCACACTTATCAAGACAGTTGTGAATGGTAATCAGTGGAAGTGTGATCTGTCAGAACTCATAAGCATTACAGTGACAACTCTATATACAAGCAAAACATGAGGGCTCGTATCATAAAAGTTTCAAAACTCTGCTGTCTTTTGTCACATCCATGTCATAATTTCGCATGCTTCTGCAGCAGATCACACTATAAATAAATGCATAATCGCTTACTTTATGTCCTCCGTGTTTACTTCCGTATGACAGCGCGCTGCACAAGTGTTGCCAAATCCACAGTTTCCCCACGGAATTGGGCTACTTTTTCCACTGTTTCCGTGGGTTGTTTTTCAACATCGTGGGTTGACGCGACACCACTAATGTGATATTTACTCCCCTGAACATGGTTGGGCTAGTTTTGGACTAGTTTTGAGAAGCAATTGGACGGATTTTGTTGTGAAAACCTGTTCGTATCGTTCTTTTGCGCATGCGGGCCAGATCAGAACCATGATCTGTTCACACTGTAAATCTGATATTGGGCACATTTAAAACAACAATGTGAAGAGCCATAAAACAGAATCGGATCTGAGGAAAAAAAAATCAGAATTGAGCACTAAGGCTCGCAGTGTGAACGTAGCTTTAGGCTTACAGCCTGAACGTAGCCCTTGTTGAATTTCTTGTTTCTTGTAGTTTCATTGTTGATTTCATTGTTGAGTTCATCTTGATTGTCTCCCCAGGTGTTCCTTGTTACCTTGTTTGACCCTGTGTAGCTATACATTATAAGCTTTAGTTTTTCCTCAGTCAGGTCTTGTTCATTCATGGCCGTCTCATGTTTGTGCCCAGTTCTGTTTTCTCATATTTTGTTTCCTGGGTTTTTCCAGGATTTTGTTTATTAGTATAATAATCTTAACCTGCATTTAGATCCAGCTCTCCTTGGTTTCATCCCTCTCCTTGGAGTTCATCCTTGTGACAGAAGACCACAAAAATGGATTCAACAGTTTGACTCGTGGGCTCATGGCAAGGGACCAAATCTATAGAGGACTACAACGAGGTGTTCAGTGACCTAGTTCGTAGTGTGGACTGGGAGGAACTGGTGCTAAAGGCCTTGTTTAGGGTTGGACTTAATGAGCTGATAAAGTCCTGTTTACCGAAAGACAAGTTTGTTCACTGTCAGGAACAATTAATTAATTATGCTCTCTGGCTCAGTTTCTAGTCCTACACCGTGGGTTGTGTCACGGCTCCCAGCACTCCACTGCCAGAGGAGGCTCCCTCATGCATGCGCCTCAACAAGGCTCCAAGGAGGAGAAGGTCTCGTGCCAGTGGAGATGGAGACCACGGTGGAGCCGGCAGCGTCATCGGTCCCTTCTTCTTTCCAACATGATTTCCACCTCTGCCTTGGTCCTTTGCTCTGTTGGCTCTGCCTTGGTGAACCAGGTGGACCTCTAGTCATTTGTAATAATTGCGAAGGGTTGTCTGTGATCTTAATCCCGTGCGAATTGGCCATGTCTGTAATTTGTAAAGTAAAAATTCCCTCACAAATGACCTACCATATTTCACCGAACACTCAGTGTTTTGATAGTATTTTGGGTGCTGGGTCATATCGCTATACACCATACAGCTATGCAATTTGTAGAAAGACAAAACAGAAAACCATCAGTAGAGCGAAAACAAAAAGAATGAATAGATGGAGATGGATGGCATGTATAGTAGCTTGCGGTAAGGAATATTCTTCTGTTTATGATAAACTGCTCAAAAAAATTAAAGGAACACTTTGAAAACACCTCAGATCTCAATGGGGAAAAATATCATGCTGGATATCTATACTGATATGGACTGGGTAATGTGTTAGGAACGAAAGGATGCCACATCATTTGATGGAAATGAAAATTATCAACCTACAGAGGGCTGAATTCAAAGACACCCCGAAAATCAAAGTGAAAAAATGATGCAGCAGGCTAGTCCATTTTGCTGAAATTTCATTGCAGCAACTCAAAATGGTACTCAGTAGTTTGTATGGCCCCCATGTGCTTGTATGCAAGCCTGATAACATCTGGGCGTGCTTCTAATGAGACGACGGATGGTATTTCCTCCCAGATCTGGACAATCACTGAGCTCCTGGACAGTCTGAGGTGCAACCTGGCGGCGTCGGATGGACCGAAACATAATGTCCCAGAGGTCTTCTATTGGATTTAGGTTAGGCAAGCGTGGGGGCCATTCAATGGTATCAATTCCTTCATCCTCCAGGAACTGTCTGCATACTCTCGCCACATGAGGCCGGGCATTGTCGTGCACCAGGAGGAACCCAGGACCCACTGCACCAGCGTAGGGTCTGACAATGGGTCCAAGGATTTCATCCCTATACCTAATGGCAGTCAGGGTGTCCATTGTCTAGCCTGTAGAGGTCTGTGCGTCCCACCATGGATATGCCTCCCCAGACCACCACTGACCCACCACCAAACCAGTCATGCTGAATAATGTTACAGGCAGCATTACGTTCTCCACGGCTTCTCCAGACCCTTTCACGTCTGTCACATGTGCTCAGGGTGAACCTGCTCTCATCTGTGAAAAGGACCCTGTCCAGGTCTCCCAGAGTAACTGTTGGTCTCCTGGAATCTCCCCCATGCTCTTGAGACTGTGCTGGGAGACACAGCAAACCTTCTGGCAATGGCACGTATTGATGTGCCATCCTGGAGGAGTTGGACTGCCTGTGCAACCTCTGTAGGGTCCAGGTCGCCTCATGCTTAGGGTGGCCATATGTGCCATTTATACGGGACACGTCCTGGCCAGGATTTTTCGAAAACCAGCGATTCGAAAGCATAAGGAGCCGTCTGCTCTGCTCTCTATAGCTCTCGTGAATGTCATACAACAATCAATCTGCACAATGCAAACAGCCAAAACCTGGATATTTTAGGCAATATAAAAATCCTGACAAGGCCCCGTAAAAATGACCTGTACGGTCACCCTACTCATGCTACCAGTAGTGACACTGACCCTAGCCAAATGCAAAACTAGCGTAAAACAGTCAGAAAAGAGGAGTAGGGGAAAAAATGTCAGTGGGATCCACCTGTAAAACCTTTCCTGTTTTGGGGGTCGTCTCATCGTCTCATTGCTAGTGCACCTGTTGTTAATTTCATTAACACCAAAGCAGCTGAAACTGATTAACAACCCCCTCTGCTACTCTGCTACTTAGATCAATATCCCAGGAGTTTAATTGACTTGATGCTCTACTCTGATTAAAATGTGTTCTTTTAATTTTTTGGAGTAGTGTATATAATTTTACGCAAAGCATTGACATCATATCTGGGTGATAAGTCAGTAAATTCGACTAAAACCACAGGCTTAGCTTATCCCGTGCAAATGCGCCACATGAAATTGAGATGTGGGGTGTAATTTCTAAATCACACGAGGTCCTCAGATAATACTAATCCCGTGCGAATAGGGCTTTAGTCCCCCACTCTGCCTAAGTTGTATACTCCATCAGCTCCATCTCTGCCTTGGTCTCCTTCTCCAATGGCTTCACATTGGCCCCCTGCTCTGCCCTGGTGGTGTTCTCCATGTTATCCTGCTCTGCCAGCTCCTCCCTTCCACCTCATGGACCTGACCCTCCATCTCTACCCCTAGTGCACATCCACCTCCCACCTGGTTTTAATGTAGTGTCTGGAATTCTCTCCTTAATGGTGCGGCTCTGTTACTTTCTGTTCTTTAATTTTTGTCTGGACTTTAATATTAAAGTTCTTTTTTTCCCTTGGTTTCCTATTTTCTGTTCCAGTTTTTAGTCCCTTTGAACTATCATTGTTGATTTGTTCCCCTTGATTGTCTCTCCAGGTGTTCCTTGTTACCTTCCTTGCCCTTGTGTATACAGTAAAAGCTTTAGTGTTTCCTGTCTCCCTTGTGGGGTCCTTTCCTTTCGTGGACATCATGTGTGTGTGCTCAGTTCTGTTTTCATGTATATTGTTTCCTTGTTTTTTGAATTTGTATTTTGCTTAGTAGTATTATTCATTTTTAATCTGGACTTGGATCCAGCTCTTCTTGGTTTCTAAGTTTATCTTGTGACACTGAGACCATTCCTCCATTTAATTGCATTGCGAGGTTTCTGTTCACACCAAATCTAGC